ACCACACCACATTAGCACAGAGATGCACTTGTCGATTCAAATTCCGTAGTGGTAGAGGTAGTAAGAGTATAAGCAGTAATCGGAAACATTAGAGTTTGAACACGTTATTCAACGAGTACAATACAGTGAAATAAATTTGGAAAGAGGAAAAAAGGAAGCGACATGAAGAATTCAGAAGATTAGAATTTGGGAGAACACAAAGAGTGGATGCACCTGCGCCATTGCAAACGATTTCGAGCCATGTCATTCAGGGTCTCTAACCATCGGTTGCTATCATCTCGGGGACCCCAACCACGTAGTCTACACCTACCAACATGGCTCAGTCCGCTTGTCAGTGACTTCATGGATTTGTGTCATGTTTTGGTCTGTCCGCCCATAGCTTTCTTCCAACCTACTCCTACACCATAAAACATCGCAGGTCGGTGCAGTCGGTGGTTGAGCATACGAAACACATGTCCCAGAAATCTCAACTGATGAAGTTTCACCATTTCATCAATTGATTTGCCAACCTTACCTAGTACTCGTTTCCTAACAACTGTGTTACTTACTCGATGGTCCCAGGATATACGACCAATGTTTCGAAGACACCTATGATCGAATACTAGTAACCCACGAATATCCTCTTCTCTTACTGGCCATGTTTCACATCCATAAAGTATGACGGAACGACGTGCTGCGCAGTAAACACGTCCTTTGGTTGATAGACGGATATCCCGCCTGCGCCATAAATGACGCAAGTTGGCAAAAGCTAGTCAAGCCTTCTGTATCTGTGCTGAGATTTCGTCACACCAGACCAGAAGGGCTGATGAGACTTCCAAGATAAGTGAAGCGGTCGACACACTCAACTACTTCACTCCCTATCATTAGTTCGGGTGTCGATGTAACCCAATCCTGAAGCAACATTTTGGATTTCGAGAGAGAGAATCGCATCCCGAACATGCTTGCATTGTTGATTAGAATGGTCAGAAGACTCTGCATTTTGTCAGCGTTTTCACCAAATAAAACTATGTCATCGGCATATTCTAAGTCAACATGTGAATCTCCAGGTAGAACTTCAACCCCTGGAAATTTAGATGAGGAAAGTGTCATCTCTAAAAGCACGTCAGTGACAAAGTTAAACAAGAATGGAGAGAGTGGACAGCCCTGACGAATATCACTTGAGGTAATCAATTCTGATGACAGTTCACCATAAGCTCTCACTCGATCAGTTCTGTTCGAGTAGAGAGCCTTCACAAGGTTAATGTACTTCTTTGGTACTCCTTTCAGTGACAAACACAACCATAGAACCTCACGATCAACAGAGTCGAATCCCGCCTTAAGGTCGAGAAATACCACCATTGTGGGGCGTCTGAACGTGTGTCTGTGTTCTATAAACTGACGTAGTGTGAATATCTGGTCTATACAACCACGTCCAGGTCGAAAACCACGCTGGTTTTCTCTAGTCTGCTCTTCACGAGCTTTGGTTAGGCGTCGAAGTATTATTGGAGCTAATATTTTAGACACTATGTTCGTGAGACTGATTCCTCTGTGAGTATCACAAGAGGACTTTCGTCCTTTCTTATAGACTGGCACAATCAGTGATTGAGACCAGTCAGATGGGATCACGTCCAGTTCCCAAATTCTACCTAACACCTCAGTTAATCTCGCTTCTAATACTGAACCACCATCCTTAAAAATCTCAGAGTAAACCTGTTAGGGCCTGCTGCTCTCCCTCGCTTCAGTTTTCCTATAGTTTTTTCAACTTCGTAAAGAGACGGAGGACCTACATTAACTTGCCATTCAGGTTGACTGGAGATCGTGGGAAACCCAAGTGTGGCTAAAGGCCAGTTGAACTGATCCCTAAAGTGTTCTCCCCATCGATCCAATCTCGTGGATTAAGAATGAATAATATGTCCATCTTTCTCTGTAATTGTTTCATTAATATTCGGATTCCTAATACCGGTTTCCTTAACGTACGTGAACAATTGTCTGCTATTACCTATTGCCGCAAGATTAAGTGTGGTTAATAATGGAATACAGAACGCGCGTTTTTTCCTATTCTAAACTCATCAGCTATCCGTACAAGATGCATACATACCGACTAAGACTGATTAAATTTTCAGTCAAAATATAAATAACGAGATAACCTAAAACATTTCAGTCATGATATTTATATGAATCAAGAACTCCAATTTTATTCTGCATTCTTTTTAATTCAGTTTCAGAAATAATTATCTCCACGGTGAATTACAACAATAGAAACACTTTGAAGGGAATAATTAATAACAGTATTCTATTATTTAACCAGGAATGATTATTTACTATTTACGTTACTAGGCGAATCAGTTAACTGAAAATTGTATTCGTTGATATGGAAATGTTGCATAGTATTAACATTATGGTGTCGAAATTACTATTAATTTAAATTATCTAACTTAAATGGAACCTACAAATACTTGATATGCAAATAAAAGGAATAATAGATACACTTTTTTCCTAGAATTAGCAGTGCAATCCGGAATGCGTGCCTCTCCCTATATCGTACTCGTCAGCTGGATATACCTACACCCCAATGGGGATATTAACACTACTCAGATTAAAACTCGAAATGGTCGATTGTAGTCCTTAAGATCAGCAGTGGGGATAATATAAACCTTTACAAATAATTGACACAGCATTTAACCTTGATACATTCAAAGTAAATGTATTATGAAAAATCTATATACATAAAGCATAGAGATGACAAATAGTTGTTAGTTATTGAAATATATTTTACTGATAATCAGTGAAAAATAGGAAATACTGATTACTTTGCGTTAACATTTATGGGCCATATTTCTTTATCTATCTACATAATTTATTCAGTACCAATTAGATGAACTGATTAGGATATGGGAAATATTAAATACAGTACCATATTCAAGTATCAATAAAAATAATCGATATAAATAATGCGAGATAACGATAAGATATATTATTGATACCAAATTTCAAATTGCAGATATTTCTACAATGGAATATTTGTTCTATGTTGCTATCTTAGGAACTATGGGCTTTTAAAACACAGTTCACATATCCAGTTTAACTACTTTTTAATCATGGACTAAAGGTGTAATAATGTATAGTGTCTAATAGTTACTTACTTTACTTACTTACGCATGTTACTCCTAATGGATCATAGGCCAACGACCAGCATTCTCCAGCCTACTCTGTCGTCGACCTCTATTTCTACTTCATCCCAATTTTTGTTGATTCTTCTCATGTCTGTTTCCATTTCTCGGTGTAATATGATCTTTGGTCCAACTCTCCTCCTTTGACCTTGAGGATTCCAAGTGCGAGCTTGTCTTGTGACGCAGTTCGGTGATTTCCTCAATGTGTGTCCTATCCACTTCCATCACTTCTTCCTGATTTCTTCCTCTGTTGGGATCTGGTTTGTCCTCTCCCACAGTAGGTTGTTACTGATAGTGTTTGGCCAACGGATGCGAAGTATGTTTCATAGACATTTGTTAATAAACACTTGTATCTTCTTGATGATGGCTTTAGTGGTTCTGTAAGTTTCCGCCCCAACTAGTAGAACTGTCTTGACATTTGTATTGGAAATTCTGACCTTTGTGTTGGTTGACAGCTGCTTTGAGTTGGAGATATTCTTCAGTTGTAAATATGTTGCTGTTTCTTTGCTGATCCACGCCTTCACATCTGCATCAGAACCACCGTGTTCATCAGTGATACTGGTGTCTAATAGTAGTGTCACAGAATATAGTTTTTTTTATCTAAATGTAGGTTAATTGTCTCCATGTGGAAGATTCTTACTAAATCCATACCATAGATTACTGGACAAAAACGCGAGAAAATTAAACACTGACCACTTAATAGTTTGGTGGTAAGTTCTGTAGTCAGTTATGCCATATATCATTCATTTAACACATTTTATTTAGAAAGTTCTCTTTCACTTATGTTATTGAATAGGTTACTTGAGTTTTTAGTCGGTTTTGCACTGAATGACTAAATAAGTACTTTTTATTATTTTCTAACGAGTAGCTTATTAATTGTAAAGCTAAGAAAATTAAAAACTTCAAGCTAAAATATGAATATCCTTAATTTTCACATCTCAGTATGCTACTGTCCTTAAAAGACTGCTTACTTAGTCACCTGAATAACGTGTTTTGAATCCCTCTAAGTAAAGAAGTTTTATAATTGTTTAATCTCATCTTGTCAATTGTTATTAAGGAATTTAAACTGAAATAAACCGTTGCAGAAGTATTTTTTTATATAACAAATACATTTGACTAAACTTCCTAGTTTTGAGTATCATAGTTCAGTCTTATAGTTATGTGTAAAGTGTTTCTCTATAAACGATTAACTACTTAGAATGAAAACATGGCTCAAATGGTCAAGGTATACTAAGTTACACAATTTATAATGAGAATTCATTGTGATTATAATCTAAATAAATCTGGTGATATGTTTCAGGTTTTTAAAATAGATGCTCATCAAGTGAAATTTCGAATATTCACAACAATATACCACAAAACGTTTTAAGGTCAAAAACAGTATTTTCAATGCGAAATGTTGTGTTCAAGAGTTTGAAATTTGATTTGAAATTGGCTCTTGAAGTAGTCAACACGAAAACATTTATATTCATTAAACTGATTACTGTATAGCATGAAATATTTTCAGATCATTCTATGATTAAGACTAAATCATGACACAATTGATATATGTCAAACCAGTGTTGAAATATAACGTTTATCCTCATTCGTCCATAGTTCACAATGGTGTATACTTGTGATTCGTATTTCTATGTATGATTCACTGTTTAGGTGTATATATCTCATTCACCTTATTTTCACCCTTCATATGATTATGCTAACAATTTACATAAAATTGTGCGTTTGATCTCGAGCTGGGTAAATATTGTTTACACTGAAATAACTAAATAATGGTCAGACAATTCATATAAGCAAATAAACATTATATACACATATCACAATTCTTCATATGAAATAGTATAGTTTACCAGTTTTCAATGATTGATTTTCAGCTGTTTAGATGAATATATAAAGTGTCTGTAATGCATTTGATGTCACCCTTAAAATGTGTGTATATAATTTCATCTTATCAACAATATTGTATTACTTAACATTTGAAAAATGAAAATATCAACGGATTTTATGGATAAAATGTTGATAAACTACTTCTCTCTCATATACTTTATATATTTGTCTTTACTACTAATAGAAACACAAAGTATTAATGATAATAATTTATGGCAAGTTATAACTTCGTATCCAAATGCAACTAAAGTGAGCTTTTTATTGATAATCATTATTGATATGATAACCTTACTCTAATTTGTTCATTTATAGGATACAAGTTATATTAGATTCTCAGAAGGGGTTTTGTGGAGATTTTAGAAATTTCAACAGTTGAAATCATCAGCCAATTGAAGTTAGACCACTATGAAAAACCTAGAAGCACTGGATGGTCGTTTCGTCCTAGTATGGGACTCCTCCAGTACTTCCAGGTTTTCCATGGTGGTCTAGCTTCAATTGGCTCATGATTTCAACTATTAACATTTATATTAGATTGCTGTAAATAGTATAAGACCATCATAGAAATGTACAGTTAGATTTAAAGCCTAAAAGATGTAATTCTAACCAAACGGTTGAATAAGATGTTAAAGAATTACATCCTTAATCAAATGTTTGAAGAAGTTAACATGATAGATCTTAGACTGAGATAGCTTTCAAACTCAAAACTTTATTGTTTCTCAACACAACAGTACTTACTGATTGCTTGGTTTGGAAGCTATTATATTGGATGGTAACAACATATATCAAAATGTCCAGTACTATTTAGTCTTTGCTTGTAGTTTGGATGAGATCGATTTGTCAAAAGATCGCTTCCAAAGTAAATATTTATAATGTATTTGTTGATTTGTTTTATCTACAGTGAACTATTAATGTTCAATTTTATATAACGTTATAAACTTACGATCTATCCCATTATGCATAATGTATTATCTAATAGTTATGCTCATTACTTTTCAAAAATTCAGTTGCATCTATGTATTACAACAAAACTAGACTGAATATATATCAAAGCCAAATTGACTCTTCTGAAACGTGGTGATGAATTATTAAGTCATTCCTTGATCTTTGTAATCCTATACAATTTTTATACTAAATATCTCAAATGTTGCATTTATCTAGTTATGATAGAATAGTCAGGTGACTAATGATACTTTTGTATGTAACTCATTTTTTTCCTAATAGTTTGGAGTATATGATAGTATACATACTGTTTTAATGCAATCAAAATAAAACTTATTTCTAATACTGCCCAGTAACTATAGTTCTTTTCTTTCGTGAACATTATAAAAAAATTTTATTGAGATTACGAATCAATTTCAGTCAGACAACTAACGATCTTCATAACCCCATACTGATGATTATGGAGATTATTTGTGCCTAATGTATATAGATAAGTATAATACAATTTTATGTGTTAATATTCTGAACACTTTCACTGGCATATTTTATAAGAAACACAAACTGGATTAATGATTTATTTTCATGTTTTTATTCATTATGACCATATACTGACATGCATATTCAATCTTTTCTTTTCACAGACGATATCAATGTTTCTTCAATTATATTCACAAACTTCTTTTTTTTTTAAATTGGTTAGGTTCAAAACTAGTTACAAACTGGTAATCATTTCTATTGGGATTTGAAATTCTTAGTTGCTTGTTTAATCTTATGGATATAACAGGATCGTTTAAAACTAAATCATTGGTATGAATAATCATTAAATGCTGATGATCCAGTAACCTCACATAAAACTTATGAATTCAATTTCATGACATTTCTATGATACTTATCAACGTAAACCTGTTTTTTTTTAAGGATTATATAAAGTATACTATACGACTTACGTTTTTTTTATAAAAGTAACTTGTAAATTCTACTTTTTGTCCTATATTTCACCCTAGTTTGCAGATTTTATTCAAGAAATGGGACTTCAGAATTTGTTCGAGAAACCTGGTTGTTTTGGTGATGATGAATGTTTGACAATAATTTTACCTACAAACGATGCAATTGATCATATGGCTAATGATTTAGCATGGTATAGTTTAGGCGATTATCAAAAACATTCATTTATACATGGTCATATAATTCAGAGTATGTTTAAATAAATAAAAATAAACGAATACTTTGTTTGGGTATTTCTTATTCATATTCTATTTTTCTTTATCTATACATGTGCATTGCACATTTTTAAACGACAGACGTAATACATAAAAGCTTAGAGTCTTATTGAAAAACGAGGTTCCAATTCAAGGGTACTAATAAATAGCTATTGGAAAAAAACACAATAAAGTAAAAATCAGGTCGAATCTTTCAAAAGAGAATACCGTATTCAACATCATGGGAAATAAGTTATCATAGGATGTAATTGTATAATCAGTATCCATCTATGGATACGAAAACGAAGTTTATAACGTTTTATGTAAGTTAATCTATGAAAATTTTAGTACATTTGAATGATTCTACTCATTTCTTGTTATTAATACATCTCTACAACATCTACAATATAACCATTATTGTTATTTGGTTTCTCTAGATGTAAATTTTTCAAAACATTTAACTAATTAAAACGATCATGCCTGTAAAATTCCTTTCTTACTCTTTACACTTGTAGGCAAATGGAAAAGCACCTTGTTGATAGTCAGTGTTGTCCTATCCTGTGATTATCACAGACGATGTATCTGGGTATAAACTTAAACCATCTAGTGTTTTAGATTATGATTACTGTTTACTTAGCTTCTAACTCATCCTGATCATTCTGTATGATTTGTTTAGAATCTTATGGTTTATTGATAAATTTAAGTCGTTTAGGCGGGACTGTAATTTATGGACAAACCAATCAGATTTAGGATAATAGGTCTTGGATTTTGGCGCGAAATTCACTCATCCATTTGGATAAATAGAGTTTTAGCATTATAGCTGATATCAATTCGTGAAGAAAACCCTAAATCTAATTTCTAACCTTAATCGTCAACTGTAAATCGTAATTCTAATTCCTCGCACGGGTTTATAACCCTCATTTGATCCTGGTTATTAGGTGGACACTCCCACGGTCAGTTTAGCGTCGCTCAAAGATTGCCCATAAATTATAGTCTCACCTTCATTTACGACTCTAACAAAGGAAAGTAAATTTTAACTGGTTCGTGGGTTAAGCTCCTCGTAAAAAATATACCATCGCATTAATGGACTCTATCGGTCTTTAAGTATTCTTAAGCCTTAGTTAAATCCTTGGTAACGAGAATGTAGGCTTTTATTCGTTTAACAACTCTGAATTATCTTTATCTTTGTAAATCGACTTAGCATTTCATCATGACTCATAACATTTATATGTGATCCTTTCCCAATAAAGTATTTGCAAACCTTTTCTCAATATAATTACGAAAATTATTCGCAATATTATTATTATTAATGGCTTTATTCAATATTATATTTTGGTACAATATAGAATTCTCAGCACAATAACAGTTTCGAAAAAGAACCCATGTTTATAGCATTCGTAATAGTAATTTCCTAGCTTACTGTATTCGTGGATAGACGGATTAAAATTTATTTATCATTTCTTCCTTTATCATAGGAGGGGTTACTACTGGTCAGTCATCTGTACGTGTAACAACAAGAGAATGGACAAAATTAGGTCAACAAATGAACTTCATCGATATTGGATTCGGTACAGGTGTTGAATATACAACATTACTTGCTAATCAACAATTCGGGTTTTCAACTATAGTAAGTTTACAGATTTTATTTATCAAGCATTTCTGTTAGTGTACACAAACGATTTTAGTGATCTAACTACAACATGAACCCAGTGATTTTTAAGAATTCAGTAAAATACTCATGATAATTACAGGAATAAAGTTGGTTTATCCCATTAACACCAGGAAATTAATTCACCTGATATAAATACTTAGAGTTGCCCAACAAGTGTTATGGTAAAATGTCACATGTGTCGTTGACTGAACCAGAAATTCAAACCTTGGTAGAAATTTCTTTATCTAATATTTCGATTCACTGAGCTGAGTCACTGAATGATCTATTTGAACTATTTATTCTTGGTAATCATCCTCGCATTGTAATTTTAGGTTTCGGAAAAATATAGAGAGGTTGAGTAATATATTTTCTAAAATCTGAGATAGACTAGGTGTTGCTCGCTGATATTCTTATGGCACAGTGATGAATAAAGTACTGGGGAATCAAAATGCATTGAAAAAGTCATCTCGTTTCTTGATATAATTCAGTTTAATGGCTTTCTGTTTTACAAAGTAAATTTAAAATTCAAGCTTATCTACTTTTTTGTTTATGTGAACACATAAATACTGGTACAAAGGGTCGCTGAATAAATATGCGTCACACAAATGCCCTGGTACAGTCGAGGGTGGGGAGAGCTAGCTCTCTCTCTCTCGAAATGTTCTCACATGGACACGAGTATACAGCCACTGCCAGAGAAGTCCTACTCACTTCCTCCTCGTGGTGAAGGTGTTGTTTACGAAGATGAGATGACGAAAAGCGAATGCCCAACGCTTTAACCGGGTTGGTGGATATGGAGGACCCACCTAGAGGGGTCGGAAAACCCTGATTTAAAACCAGTGATGCACCTGGGATCGAGGATCTGGAGGGAACAAATTGTTAGTCACTGGCTACCATGAGACTACATCTCCTTACGTTGCTCCACTGCCTTGTGGACCAGACCTTCAGGTCGAAGGTTTTGGGTATGGCCCCCCCTAAGAAAACCACTTGCTCGGTCTGGGTGCTCGGGCAGTATCACAGCCCATACACAAATCGAGTGACTAAAATTCAAGCTATTGTAACTCTGTGGAATATTTGTGTTTTCCTGTACATTTGCATTGGTGTATCACCAAATGAAAATAAAATAAACACTTTTCACCTATTTTCTTACTACATTTTTATGAAGTCTACCGAAGATTGTCTGAAGTGATTGTTTGTTTTCCTGATTCCATTTCGCATTAATAGTATTTTTATGGTTACAGCAAGTTATGAGTTTCTTGTCAACCTTTATTTTGAACAATCTCAAATGTATACAACATTTGGAAGATAACTAACAACGACAATAGGTATTACGTTCATCCACCCAAATAATTTCGAGATATTGCTGCCTATTAGATTGTAATTTTGATAACATAATTAACTGGATGCTATAACATTTTGTACTACTCATCCTGCATGTCGGGCTCAGCTAGATTGGATATGTCTGTAACAGACAATGACGATTAAATCCAGCTAAAGTTTTACATATCTGTGATGAGATTATTCAGAGGTATTGTCTAAAATTAGTTAATCTTCTTTGGTAATTTTCAGGCAGATTCTACATCTTTATATTTTGTAAATAATGCAAAAATTGTGACACCAGATGTTATGGCTTCAAACGGAATAATACAAATAGTAAATCAAGTATTATACACACCGTATATTTCATCACCATTTATGGAATTTTTACAAAAACAAGGAAATTTAGGGTAAGTAATGTATTTGGTTGAGATAACTACACTGGCCTGTTGAAGCTTATATATTTTCCAAATAAATCTTTTGGATTCATGTGTTTCTATTTAGCTATTTATTCACAAAACAGATTTCCTTGAGCGTGTGAACTGTTGAATTTAAACTGATTTGTCTAAGAATCCAGAGTTTTCTGTTATACTTGAAGTTTATAAGTTCATTATTTTATAGGGTCGCAGATGTGAGCTACAAAACTGTTCAAACTAAAATGAGACAGTTGTCAAATGTTATAAGACTTTTAATAATTCCCTGACTGATGACCTTTGATGAAAAATGTCTTCAAATTTAACTTATTTCTGCAAAAAACAACTAAGCAAGATGTATAGATTATCTATTGATTAAAATACTATGTTAATCTAGTATTTCATTTCTGTCTCTGATCTTACCAAAAGGATGATCAGTAATTCAGTCTTTATTCCTATTTTTGCTAGTAAACAGAAGAAACACGGGAACCGAGAACATATCTAACAGAGATTACATTATCTGCTTGCTTTTATGCTAGAATATGTTTACGACTACTTTGACTATTGATGTGATTGTTTTTCCGCCACATCGCCCAACTAAGATGTCAACTCAAAACTTCTACACCAGTTTATTTTACATAACCTTTTGGACTGAAACTTGCTGTTCACATTATTCTATAGGTTAATCATGTATAGTCAATTAGTTAACTTCAGAATTATTGACGATGATAGCTCAATTTAGAAAATCTGTTAGGATATTTTTGACATTTTATTTTTCGATGCGGTTGTTACAGTACATGTTAACCACCAGTCACGACTAAATTAAGATTTGATTTTGGAAGTCTTGTGAAAATTCAAAGTTTATATGAAAGGTTTATAGGGTTTGACAAGTTATCAAGTTGAATGGATTAAAATGTATTAAACAGATATATCACACTTTTTCACATCAGTAAGAGATCAGCCAAATGATCTGAGGTGAGACATACCATTGGTGGCCTAATTTTCTAAGGGATATATGTATATATATAAGAATGCGTTCACCTACACGTCGATTTGGCCAGTCAACAAACCTCCTATCGAACTCGTTTCACTCGAGTACCTGGTTGAATTCATGTACGTCATGCATGTTACAACATCAAATCTGTCTTGTTATTACATTTTCAAAATTTATAAGGCAGGTTAACTTTTCTGAAATAAAAGTAATTTAATGTCGATTTTTTTTTCATTATACTTATGATATTCAGCAGATTTTTATAATTTTCCTACATTGTTAAAATACATTAGTATATATTAATGGATTATAATTTTAGAGTTTTTATCCATATACACGGATATTACTGAAATGTGACAAGTACCAGAAAAGATTTAAACCTTCCTCATTTATTGGAATCAGTTGGTTGTCCCTTTTATTGAAATAAAATCTATGACAGTCCATTGAAATCATTTTAAAATTAAGATCTTTGTAGAGAGTACGTTTTGATCGGATATTAAATCCGTGTAGGTTCCAATGGAGCTCATTTACAAGTTGAACTTACACCGCAATAATTTTCTTATATTCATCTAAAAGCAAATATTTTGAATTAAAATATCTTCTATGCAAAATTAAACATGATTATGACATGGATTTTTTACATACTGCATTGTTAATTCATGTACTGCAAAATTGTGTAAAACTATCTATACTTGATATAATAATGAAAATATTCATCATTACATAATTTGACTGAAAAATCAGTAGACTCCATGTGAACAAAATCAGTAAACGGTCTATTGATGAGGAGTCCTATAGTAAAATGAACTAACTGTTCACTGCTACTTTGTTTAGAATATTTCATTAAATAAATACAGTCTTTGATATATAATAACAAGACTAGTAGGTCCTGGGATCGAATCCCGCGGGGCACGGGATCGTGGATGAGCACTGCTGAGGAGTCCCATACTAGGACGAAACGGCAGTCCAGTGCTTTCAGGTTTTTCATGGTGGTCTAGCTTCAATTGACTCATGATTTCAACCTGTGAACTTTCTAAAACTTTCCACAAAACCCATTCTGATAACAAAATTTTTATAATTTCTACATTATATACTGATATTGATTTTTAAAGAAGCTAAACACATTAATATTTTCACTTTCAATATTTCCATAACAGTATATCAAAAGAATTATGGTACTTATTATTGCAAGAACCTAAATATGCACCATATCCAGCGCAACATATCTATTCAACTATATTTGTTGTTAATGATTCTGGTTGGAGCTCATTACCAATTATTCAACTGAACAGATTAAGAAAAAATATCACTTTACTAGCTTCTGTAAGTGGCTTAGTTCATATGTACTTAAAATGAAAAGTGTAAATTTGTATTTGTATTTGTAAATCATTCTATCCCAACTTAGTAATTAATGGTATATCTCAGTCATGATCTTACAAGTTGAATCCAGGTTTTCAATGGTGGTCTAACATCAATCGACTCATGATCTCAATCAAATACTTGAAAATCTCCACAATCCTATACTGATTATGACCATGTGTTCACTAGTGACTAGCTCCATGAGGGAATTTTCGGAGTTCTAGTGAGAAGCCGTGACCAGTGGAGTTAATCCGTGTCGGGCAGAGACAGGTATCTACCTCAGTACAAGAGAAGATGGTCGTGCGATTTCGTGGACTGATCGACGTTATACATTAACACCGTTGGATATCGGCTCGGTGGTCTATAGGTTAAGCGTTCGCGTGCGAGACCAAAGGCCCTCGGTTCGAATCCCGTGAGTGGGTTCTTGGATGCGTACTGCTGAGGAGTCCCACAATAGGATGAAACGACCGTCCAGTGATCCCAGGCTTTCTATGGTGGTCTAACATAAATCAAAAACTTAATAATATCCACAACCCTCTACTGATAATAAAAAGTAAATTATGACCTTTTACTCGCCGGTAGCCTTTTCCAAGATGTATTTTAAGAAGATCTAATGAAATATTTGGTCTATGGAGTCAAAACAGTTAAACTTGAGGCTTAAATTCACTGCCTAGATTTCTCAATTAATATGTTAATAACAACATGAGTGAAGTAAAAGTAAAAACCATTAGGTTCTAACTTAGTGGATAATCGGTGGCATACTCCATGTAAGATCTAATAACTTTAGGTTTAATCTATTTTAAGAGATAGTGAATGACTGCCTCTGAAAAATCCCAAACTAGAGTGAGAATTTCGCCGAAACTAACTGCCTGCTAATTGTTTCCCAAATGATCTTAGTTATTGGTTAAAATTGTTTTAAACTACCACATTTAACAATCTGTTCATCTTCACTTCTATTCTAGGTTTTATCTTATCATTATTGTCCAAATCAACTCATTTATCGCGAATGGATTTCAGTGAAACCTAATATGAATATTTATACTGGTTTTCCCAATAGACCACAATCTGCAACTAGTATTCAACTAAGTGAATTAAACCCAGCCCAACTATACAAAAGTAGTGGTGATTCAAGTAAGTGATTTACATATTATTGTGACTATAGACTAATTAGCCAAACATTCATTTATTTTGAATAGTTAACAAGAGTTGTTTTGGTTGAATTTCAAGTAATACAATGAGATGTATACAATGATTTTATATTATGAAAACAGAAACTAATGTATGCACTCAAAATTGATGTTTGATGATTAACAGTAATAATCAGAAAACCATGGATATAGATTTTGTACTATTTGACACTCGTTACCAAGGTATATCCATAATCTTAAGAGAACTGATAATGCGGGCACTACATTTATAGATATTTCCACTGAGCTGTTTTATCTATGACTTATCTAATGTATGGCTGAAATATTTACGAGATTGTGGTTAGATCTTGATATCGAATTCTAACTTAAATTAATCTAAGTGCAAGACATCAGCATTAACAGGAAAACTCATTTGTTTTAAGAATACTCGAAATTCGATGTAATAAAGAAAATTTAGTTGAACGTATATTTGTATTGTAGATTCATTTGAATAATTAGGGATGATAGGAATTTTAAACTTATCATTATACGAAATACGAACATTTAAGTAGTCTCACTATTTTCTTATTGAAAACAAATTAAATTAATTCAATGGTTGATCTGGTTATCAGATGGGGCATCAGCCTCATGCCTTCCTAAGGAACTCGGCTTTCACCATGAAGCGTCATAACTCTTCTAAATGAAGACATTTTAACTCCCAGAGCAGAGTTTAAATGGTTTGAATTATTTTTCCTAGTTAGCGTTTTTTAGTGAGTTAATTTTCTACGGGATTGGGTCGCTAACCCCATGCCTGACCCCCCTTCTTTATCTGAACTTGGGTTCGGATGTAGCCCCAGAGGGACAATTCTAATTAGATCATTCTCATAAACTCCTTTAATAATTCTGTATTAAATATTACTCCTACTCTTGAATTTTTAATGAATTACGTTTTAAATATTTAGTTATAATATCGAGTGGAAATACTGAAGCAAAATTGGAAGATAAAAGTTTCATCATACAAAAAGCAATCGTTCATATCATTCAAAAGCCATTAGCATTTATATTTGAAACACGAGAAGAAATTCTGAATAGAATTAATTCGTAAGTTGGTTAATAATTAATAATTTCAATGTAGTATAGGGTGGTTTGTAGAAATTGTAGTTTCCATAGCTTAAATCAATAACTGGTCTTAGTTAGATGACTAATGTTAAGAATTCGAGAGAGAAGCTGATGGTCCCGGGTTTGATCCCCAGATGCGAAACCATGAATGTACAATTCTAGGGTTTCCAGGTTTTGTGTTCTCGCCGAGATCATTTCGTAGCAAAAACTGAATGAATATAGTAATAAGGATTACATTTTCACATTGAGACGTATAGTTAAGGCGTATGATCAGTACAATAAGAGCCTAAATTTAATCAATTAACGGCATGTAAGCTCTCAGAAATGGATACTTTTCAAAATAGTAAAACTCGTTTCCACCTCTATTGTAGTCAAAAACTCACATATACACCTGGAATTTGTGATAAAATGTAGTGAATGTCAATTTAGCAAGTGGATAAATAGAACTATGTTAGATAATCAGCAGAAAAATTATTTCGTCAATGAGGTTGATGCTGCAGAGTGGGAATTATTGTAAGGAATAAAATTGATAAGCTGAACTTTACGATAGGCTCATGATGTCATCTGCAGAACCAGCAAAGGCTGTCACTTGATAGTGCTAACGATCAAGTTTATCATGAAGTCTAATAATTTTCCAAATTATAACTTCATTAATGAGTATAATAACAGCAAAACGTTTTACAGTAGTTTGTCTCTCCGTAATCCCAAGGTTTTGCTTCTAATACTGTCATATATTTACAGTCATTTGTCCCTTCTAGCCATTACTTCGAATGTGAAAACCAATAAAATAGAACTGATTTCCTATTCGTTATCATATGCAAGAATTTTTAGATCCATACGATTTCTTAGGGCACTCAAATTTGTTCGGATCAAAGATACTGTTCAACCCCGACACTCGTCTAAAGGGTGTGAAAACGTTCCGACTGGCCAACGAGACAAACTTGTTGACTCATTGGTGCCCAGCTATGGAAAATATAGTTAAACCCTTCAAGACCAGGACACTAAACTGAATACTAGTCGGATCCTGACAAATTCTAGACTACTCAGATCGCAATTAAAGTTTATTTTATCTACAGTAACATTACTATGAGCTGTTAAAGCTAGAGTCATAGTATCAATTGGGACCAGGTCTGCCTTCGACTGATTATCTTGAGAAAAATTAAATTTCAATCATTAGAACTACCCAGTCTTAAAGGAGTTTCTTTATATACCGATAGTTATCTGTTAGTACTCTAGTAGATATTTCTCACTCTCTTAATACGAAATAATATTGTAACTTCCCGTTACTTGCTAGCTTTATGGTTGGCGAATCATTACCAACAATTTAACAGGAAAGTAAATCAAACGACTAGTTGTTGAAATAAGAGTGAGAGCGATCAGTAAGTTTTTCTTGAGCTATCACACAGGGAATACGGCAGGAGTTGCACCCAGTTGGTTCTATTCTCATAAGTCCTTGCATTCCCTTGTAAGCCATAGTGATGTGATAAGCATTAACTCTTGGAATATTACAGACTTTCTTGTAGTCTTCATGAATTATAGTCACCTCACACTAAGCTAGTCTTGCATTATACAGATCTTTAGACGAACTAGACTTCACGAGAACTCTACAACCTAAATATTACACTTTCATCCGCTAGAGCAAATACATAAATACCAAGAACCTCAGTAGAAACTTCACGCTAAACGCGAATAGTCTTTCCGACCATTAAAGATGTCATTCATTTATGGCCTGATAATTTTAAACAGAAGTGTGCTAGTTCATAACTCAACTATAACTCTTTAATTTCGCATAGTAGAAAAAAACTAAAACACATTGTTACCGATAGCCACCATAGCATGGGAACAGTACATAATTGATTTCGATGTGAAGGAAGTATCTCTGTATATTATTAACTGGATGGATGTCCAACACCTTTCGACAAATGGTGAAATAAATCAGAAATATATGAGTACTTTCGTATGTGTCATTATTTAAGTCTCTCAAAGTCTGCTTGTATTAGTCCAAGAATTCTAGTGATTAAAGAAAGCTAATCTAAGAGATTATGTACTTTTTTGAGGAAGAATTGTGTATGAAGTTACAAGGAACCCGTATTATTTGACAAACAATAAAACCACCGGCATATTTAACTCTTGATGCAAGAATAAGTTAATATCCAGCTGTCTGCTTTCGTATTCAGTGCGGTCCCATATTTAAACATAATTAAATCAAGTAAGTTTCTATACAGTCAAGTGATTTTGGTATTCTTATATTATTCGTTTAACTCTTTTGATAACATTCCCAAGTCTGTACTTTTAATGGAAAATCATCTTAATATAAATCTGAGAGAAAAAATGAATGTCGAAACACATTGCAAATACCTATGAACAGCTAACCAAAACTAACATGAACTAGCACTACTAAACAACCAGTACAAAATGACGTAAATATGTGATAATTTCAGTCTAGATGATTCAAACTCATTTTAAAAAATGAGGAGTTCGTCACTTAAAACTAAAATGTTTCAAATATCTACTAACTGACTAAACGATAAAGCACTTGCGCACTGCTGAGGAGTCCCATACTAGGACAAAATGACCGTCCACTGCTTCTAGGTTTTTCATAGTGCTCTAGCTTCAATTGACTAATGATTTCAACTAGTGAAATTTCTAAAATCTCCACAAACCCCCTTCTGACATTAAATAATTCAATCAAATTACATTCTTTTTTCGTAGAAAACACTTCGGAATGGAAACCATTAAATGTATCTTGATTTCTTGTCCATAAATTTGAATATCAGATTAGATATTCTACTGAATATCGATCTATTCGTAGAGATTTATCAAAGTTTTCACTGTTGATTTGCTTAACGATGGTCATTTCATTACTGTTTTGTTGTATTTATTTATTTTTTTGATTGACACTTGTTAAATATAGAAATCTGTTATCTTCATGTCAGTCAGATACAATTTGTAAAAACATCTTAACATCATCTACAGATATAACGATTTTTTCACCGAATGCACAAGCCATGCAAAATTTTAATAAATTATCTACAAGTGAAAAGGTAAATTTATTTGAATTATTTACTCATTTGGAGCATTTAACTTGAGGTAATATAATCAGAAGATATTAATTACACATAGAAGAAAACTAGATCAACTGTCAGACAATAAATATGGTAGAACAGACTAATCAAATATTCAGGAGACTGAAACTGGACATTTATAACAAATATTGAAAAATTGTTATCTTCGTATAGTAACTATTAGTAGAGATTGTGTTTCTGAAATTGCATTATTGATTTAGAGGCTTGTAGAGGGCAATTTAATTTGTATATATGGTCTTCATAGCGAACTAATACTAATCCAAGGATTACTAAAAACCCTGTTTATGAAATTCTTTTACTATGGGCTCCATCAAAATTCCATTTTCGGATAGGATCTAGTACCTGCAGACTCTATCCTCTATCATTATAATATTCAGAACGTCTTTTTGTTAGTGAACAGTACAATCTGGTTCATACATTTCTTTTTTTCACATGATATTTCAAAAAACCAGTAGTTTCTCAGTAATCCATCAAGATGCTTGTATTTACTAATGACGTTATTTATTCTTTGAAGAAGCATTTTACACCAAGTCACAAGACGTCAACAATTCAATTTTTCTACCCACTGGGATATCACAAATATATTATCATTACTAGTAACATACATTGTGATTTATTATCTTTGTTGAAATTTCGACACAAAAAATTTTGTTTATCTTTTTTCATTTTTTTTTACCTAAGAACTAGATTTTATTTATAGTGAGTTGTTCAGAGAAATTATTCAGGCAGTGCAAATAAACAATTAAGAGATAGACCTGTTAATTGACTGATAAAAGTTTTAAAATCTTCATAGGTTAAATTGATACTAGACTTGAGAAACGAGTTAATTAAGTGATTTAAAACATTAGTTTGACTGCCCGGAAATATTTACTTTTATTCAGTTTCATGATTATTAACACGTCGTAAACTAATAACTATGGTTATCGTTTATCAACTGCAAAACTAAGGTGGATACATCTTCCTAAAGACTAGTATGCACATTTGCTCTTATGCTTTTTATATACAGAAATGGATATTGGGTGAACTATTCACAATTTTTCTAATACAACAGACAAAAACTTAACATACGACTGTATCTTATTGTATTCCTTAGAGTTTTTTGAAAGTTCACATTCAAATACAATTTACAAATTTTTTTATTTTTAGAAAAATCTTACCTTTTAGAATGCATTTTAGGAACTTCAACACCCCTTGTAAATTTTCAATTAACAAACATAAAATAATGAGTCCAGCAAGTTTGTGGATTTCACCATCTTATTTATTTGAAGCAATGACAGGCAACAAGTTTCGTGCTGTCAACTTGATTTGTGCAGACATGACTCTAATGAAATGACTCCAGTAATTATTAATTTTAACAGTTATACTACTATTAAGTAGTTTAGCTATCCTTTTAGAAAATCTAAGAGTTTATTGACCAATATAAATGGATCGAATATTGAGTATCATATTGAAGAAATATCAAGTACAAAAATACTCAAACTCTTGACTGGGAAGAGAAGAGTTTAAGAAGTTCGACAACATTTATTTTTATTGAGATCATGAATCGATTAATGGTAGACCACCAATGGAAACATGGAAGTACCGGAAGGCCGTTTCGTCCCACTATGGGACTCCTCAGCTGTGCTAATCCAACATCCCGCACGCGAAACTCAACCCCAGAAACACCGGTCTCGCACATGAATGCTTAACCTCTTGACCGCTGAACCGACATCCAACGGTGTTGATGTCTGACTTCAACCAATCCACAAAATCGTGCGACCATCTTCGATTGTCTTCGGTGGGTAAGTGCCTCACATCAGACACGGTTGAACTTCACTAATCACGGCTTCCCACTAGAACTCCAGGAAGTCCATCTTGTTTGTGAGATCGTGGATGTGCACTTCTAAGGAGTCCCGTACTAGAATGTTTGACATGCGCTTCTCTCCCTCTAAATGCAAGTTGTTGCTTAAGGACTGGCCTGCGTCAACACCTGAACTAAGAATAGGCAGTGAAGTAGTCGAACGCGTTGACAGCTTCACTTATCTAGGAAGTCTGATCAGACATAATGGGTTGGTGTCTGATGAAATCTCTGCACGGGTTGGAAATGCTCGTTTGGCTTTTACCAACCTACGTCACCTATGGAGAAGGTGAGATATTCGTTTATCAATTAAGGGCCGAATATACCGCACGGCAGTTCGTTCTGTTTTACTTTACGGCTGCGAAACGTGGTCATTAAGAGTAGAAGATATTCGTAAACCACTAGTATTTGACCACAGATGCCTTAGAAATATTGCTTGTATCCGCTGGGATCACCGGGTAAGTAATAGTGAGGTTAGATGCATGGTATTAGGGAATGATGGTAAATCAGTTGATGAGGTTGTGAATCTTCATTGACTGAGATGGTTGGGCCACGTGTTACGTATGCCTGAACGCCGGTTACCACAACGCGCAATGTTGACTGGTGTTGGAAATGATTGGAAGAATGTTAGGGGCAGCCAAACCAAAACGTGGCATCAATGCTTGAAGTCACTAACTTCTAGCCTGAGC